ATATGCCTCAGTTTCCTTATCTGTAAAATAGGAATAACAACAGTAGCTACTTCTCAGGGTTGTGAGGATAAAATGGGATATCTGAGGAGCACTTTGCAAACCTTAAAACTCTGTACAAATGTTAGCTATTGTCATTATTACTATGTTATCTACTAAGACACACTCAAGAACTATATGAAAGCAACTACAAAACATTCTTTAGAGAAAGAGTCAGATCTAAATAACTGGAGAAATATGCCTTATTCAGGAGTAGGCAACACCAGTATAATAAAAATAACACTAATTAAGTTATTTATTCAGTGTCATGCCAATAAAACTCCCAAAGGATTCACTTAATGACCTACAAAAATAACAAAATTCATCTGGAGGAACAAAATGTGCAAAATCAAGGGAAATCATGAAAAAGAGTGGGAAGAAAGAGGTAGCAAGGTAGTACCAGATCTCAAACCATACTACAAAGCAGTAATCATCAAAACTATTTGGTACTAGTGGCACAGTGGATAGAGGACTGGGCTTGGAATCAGGAAGACTGAGTTCAACTCTGGCCTCAGACACTTACTAACTGGGTGACCCCGGGCAAGTCACTTCACCCTGTTTGCCTCAGTTTCCTCAACTATAAAATGAGCTGGAGAAGGAAATGGAAAACCATTCTAGGACCTTTACCAAAAAAAAAAAAACCCAGGGGGCAGCTAGGTGGCGCAGTGGATAGAGCACTGGCCCTGGATTCAGGAGGACTTGAGTTCAAATCCGGCCTCAGACACATAACACTTACTAGCTGTGTGACCCTGGGCAAGTCACTTAACCCCATTGCTTAGCCAAAAAAAAAAAAACCAAATGGGGTCACAAAGAGTCAGGCATGACTAAAATGACTAAACAGTAACAACGACAAAAAAGAGCTCAAACGATGTACCCAAACATACAGATGAAAATGAGCATAGTAACACAATATTCTACAAACCCAAAGACCATAATTATTGAGTAAAAGACAAAAGCTGCTGGGAAAACTTTGAAGACAGTCTAGGAAATACTAGATACAGACCAACATCTCACACCATACATAAAGAAGCGTTCCCAGTACATACATGATTTAAACATAAAAGATCGTATTATAAATGAAGTAGAGAAGCAGTAAGGAAAATGACTTTTTCTGAACTATGGATGAAAAAGAGTTCACAACCAAAGAAGGGACAAAAAGGATTAGAGGAGACAAAGAGGATAGTTATGATTACACAAAATTTTAAAGTTTTTGTACAAATGAAACCTATGAAGTTCAAATTAGAAGAGAAAATTAAATGGGAAAAAAATCTTTGCATCAAGTTTCTCTAATAAAAACTCCATATCCAAGATATATAAAGAGTTGATTCGAATTGATAAGAGTCATTCCTAGACTGATAAATGGTCAAAGGATAGGAACAAGTTTTCAAAGAAAGAAATCTAACCTATCAACAACCATGAGAGGGGAAAATGCCCCAAATCACTAACGATTGGAGAAATACACATTAAATTACCTGTGAGAGTCTACTTCATATGCATCAGACTAGTAAAGATGATAAAACAGAAAAATAGCAATTGCTGAAGGGAATCTAGGAAAATGGGCACATTAATGTATTTATGTCTAGCTGCTCTGGAAAGAAATTTAGAACTAAGCCTCCAAATCTCCAAATCGTCCATCCCCTTTGACCTAGCAATATCACTATGAGGTCCATACCCCAGAGATCAAGAGGAATACATATATGCAGAAAAATATTTATAGTAGCTCCTTCTGTTGTAGCAAAGAACTCTAAACTAAGGAGGTACTGATCAATTAGGGAATGGCTGAACAAATTGTGGTATTTGGATGTAATGGAATATGCAACTCAAAAAATTATGAAACAGTTTCAAAGAAAACTTGGAAGTACTATATGAAATCATGCAGTGAAGCAAGCAAAACTGGAAGAAAAAGCTTATACAATAACATATTTTAAAAATAAACTTTGAAAGACATAAGAACTCTAATCAGTACAATAACCAACCATGATTCCAGAGGAGAGATGAAGAAGCACATTACCTGCATACTGAGAGAAGTAATGGACTCAAAGTCTAGAATGAGACATGTTTTCTGACATAGCCAATGTGGGAATTTGTCTTGACAATTGTGGGCTTTTTTTTTTAAAGTGTTTTTCCCGGAGGGATGGGGAAGAGATCTACCCTACTAACGAGAGAGGGAACTCTAAGGATTGTGTTCTTCCAATTCCCCCCCAAAAGTGAACAGAAGGATGGTCAGAAGGAACCACAAAGAAGCAGGACAACTTTGAGCATTACATGTTAAAGTTTATATATTTAAAAGAAAAGCAAGTTCTATATAATGGAGATTTTAAGTTTCATGTACAATCCTCTACAATTCCACAAAGTATATGAAAATGCTTTTTAAGTTCAGAGTTCAAAAATGAAAAAAAAATTCTAAGGCAGCATATAAACTATCGAGAAAAGACCAGTTTGGTTACTTTAATTCAGTCTTAAATTGTTATCCTAACCTGAAACAAAGGCACAATTTGAACATTACAAATTCTTTTCTAAGAAAAAAAAATGTGTATGTGAAGGAATCTGAAAACCACAAAAGTATCAAAGCATTCTGTGGTTTAAGGTTTAAATAATATGCTCTACAGGATAACATATTGACTGTGTAACCCTTGGCATGGCAATGGACAGCAGCAATCTGTCATCACTTTCCCTTCCCTTTGGAATCCAGGACCCATCCACGACAGTAGAAAAACCTACTACCACCTGACTTCCTCCTGCTCCCTTGCCCAGGCCCCCAGAACCCATTCAGGGTTAGTGACATGGGAGTCACCAACGCCATTCTTCCTGGCAAGCTGGAAGACCACCAGGCATTACCATCTGTCCTGCCTCTACCTCCTACAGACACCCTTATTGACAAAACTTATGGGACCCTGAAACTTACATCTGCCCTGCCACTGAACCCTTAGGAAATCTGGATTTTTCCATCCACCCTGCAGTTCATATTCCATGTTGTCTCCTCTAAGTTCTTTGAAGACAGGGACCATTTAGCTTTTCATATTTGCATCATTAGCACTCAATATAGTACTTAACACATGGAAAGCACTTAATAAATTCTTTTTCATTCATTCGTGATCTAACAATTCTCTAGAGTTATAAATTGCAGAGGAGATGCATGGTGAGGAGTTTTATCACCCAGAAATTCCCTAGAAGAGCCAAAGGTGCGTTCCATGTTCCTATTCTACATATATATTAAGTGGGAGGACTACAGAGCATGGCAACTGCAGGCAGGAACTATTAAGGATATTTTGAACAATTTGGTGCTTAGGAGAAAACTAGGCAAGGCGAACTATAAAGTACCTTACTCATGGATGGACAAATTATTAGTATGTAAATGAGGAATGACCCTCAGAAGCTCATGTGCACATAGAAGCTAAAGTCTGCCCTAGCTTGGACAACTGGCCCCAGAATCTGTAGAAGCCATGTTTAGTCAGTTGGCAGTCACCTGAGACATCACTAAGTAGCAGGAAATTTAATCTACCAGGAAGTCATCCATATTCTGAATGATCTATGCATGGTTAATTACCCTCCTGTGCTTGAGAGTTAGTAAAGAGGCCCAAGGAAAGATGGGATGAATTTCACAGCTGGGCTCCATCTTGTTATTCCCACACTGTTTGGGAAACTCTTCCCTCTTTCATCTGAGCCAAAGCATGCACAGGATTCTTTAAGAATCCCTCTCCATAAGGGCAGCTAGGTGGTGCAGTGGATAGAGCACTAGCCCTGAAGTCAGGAAGACCCAAGTTCACATCCGGCCCAGACCAAACACTTGACACTTACTAGCTGTGTGACCCTGAGCAAGTCACTTAACCCCAATTGCCTAAAAAGACTAAAGACTTCCAATATGCAATAAAACAGTAAACAGCTAATTAATAAACAAACAATTCATACAGAAGACTGTCCCCTTTTTACCCAAAAAAAGTCTTTCCCCAAAAGATTTTTTAAAATAAAGTTTCAGGGGCAGCTAAGTGGCACCGTGGATAGAGCACCAGCCCTGGAGTCAGGAGGACCTGAGTTCAATCCAGCCTCAGCACATGTACAAAAATATGTATAGCAGCTCTTCGTGTGGTGGCAAAGAATTGGAAATTGAGAGGAGGCCCATCCATTGGGGAATGGCTGAGCAAGTTGTGGTATATGAATGTAATGGAATACTATTGTGCTATAAGAAATGATGAACAGGCTGACTTCAGAAAAACCTGGAAAGACCTATATGGTCTGATGCTGAGTGAAGCGAACAGAACCAGGAGAATGCTGTACACACTAACAGCCACCTTTCTCAGCAATGCAAGGATCTAAGACATTTCCAAAAGTCTCATGATGGCATATGCTATCTACATCCAGAGAAAGAACTATGGATGCAGATCGAAGCATACTATCTGCTTTTTTTTTCTGTTTTGTTTCTTCTTTCTTGTGGCTCCTCGTATTGGTTCTAATTCTTCTTTATAACATGACTAATGTGAAAATATGTTTAATAGGAATGTATATGTAAAGCCTATAGCAGATTGCACACCATATTGGAGAAGGAGTCGGGGAGGAAGGGAGAGAAAATTTAAAACTCAAAAGCTTATGAAAGTGAGTGCTGCAAACCAAAAATAGATTAATTTTCTTTTACAATCCCGCTTCAGACACATAACACATAATAGCTGTGTGACTCTGGGCAAGTCACTTAACCCCAATTGCCTCACCAATAAATAAATAAATAAATAGATAGATAGATAGATAGATAGATAGATAAATAAATAGATAGATAGATAAATGAGTGAATGAATAAATGAATGAATGGATAAGTAAATAAATAAATGAAAGAGAAATGAATGAATGAATAAGTAGATAGACAGATAAATAAAGCGAATAAATGAATAAATAAATAGACAAATAAATAGATGAATAGATAAATAAATAAACAAATAAATAAATAAATAAATGGGCAAATAAATAAATAAATGAAGTTTTGAATCCAACTTTATTTCATGATGAATTTACAACCCCAATGTAAATATCTAGCCTAAGCAGACAAAACAATTTATGGAAAATGAAAACTAATGCAATATGTAGATATTTTAATATTTTTGGTGTTTGAAACCAAGTCCCTTTTACAAAAATAGTCAATCCATTAAACTCTCACCCTGATACTAAAATGAATAGTAAGACAACAAGATAAAAAAATTTCAAGACAAATAACACCAAAACTATAAAGCAATGAATTTTTTAAAAAGGATATCTTAATGAGATATTCTTGAAACCCACTAAAGGAAAATGCTACATATTCTAAGCACATATTTTACATCCTTAGATGACAGGAAAACATGTTACTTATACATACACCTAACACGAATGTGTACAGATTTTTAAATCTCGATCTTACAGAGAACAAACTATAAACAAGTAATGAAGTGCTTTTTGGAAGGAGTTTCTACGCTTAGTTCATCACCTGGATCAGCAAAGAGAAACAGTGCGTGGAAAAGAAACTGATCGGTTTCATGGGTAATTTCTTGCAAAGGAAAACAATACTTTAAAGAAATCTTCGAGGGAAAATCGGCAAAGGCAAAGCAAATTAAGGTGAGAACTTGGTGCTCTTGAAGTAAATGGAAATGTGGGGATGCAAACAGTCTTTTCCCTGTCTCATTAAATTCTAACCAACTATCCACTTCAAGTACCTTCCAGCTAGAAAGACCATCTGTGGTGGAGTCAGACGTCCTTCCCCCAACAATTATGACTATGTGTGGGGGGTTAAACCTGGCCTACACGAAGCGGAAAATTATCAACAGCTAGTAAGTCCTCTGAATTACTTAAGGGCCATTATATTTTAAACAATTCAATATCTATAATGATCCTCTACTCTTCTGAAGGGGTAGATGAGATAGAAAGTAAGAGGCCCCTATCCATGGGCTCCATATGGCCAGCTTATACTCATCAAATAACTAGATCTTAAAACATTTTATCTTAAATCCTCAACATTCCCATGAATATGGACGATGGGAAGAAATCTCCCCCATGCTACAGACAAAGAAACAAAGTCACACAAGAGATCAAGTAAATTTTATACAAGATGATTTTCCATCTGTCAGCGGCCAAACTTGGGAGCAGAGCCATCTGCTTGTTGAGATCCAACAGCCTTGTAGACAACACGATAATAAATATCAATGATGTGATGAGATACTGAACCTTACTTCACTTTACTTATACTATAAATTAGGGGACAGAGGAGAGAGACATGGAAGAAATTTTTTAAATGAATGGGGACCCTCCTATTATGGATTCTTGATATTATAATTTAAAGCTGTCTTGGTTCACACTAAGGTCAGTGTTTTTGTGATGCAATTTCATAAAGGTTTCCATAGTTATAAGATGCTAAAAATGTGGTCATCATCTTTTACACAGATTTTCTAAAGAAAAACTATTGCAGAGTTCATGCGTGGTTCATATTTTTTGTTGTAGTTACAGCAAAGACGAAAATGCACAAAACTGAAGTATTTGGAATCTTTTGGCTGCCAACTGTCTCCTGCAATATTACAAAGTGCTCAAAAATTCCTTGACCTAGGGGGAAAAAAAAGAAGCATGTTCATAAAATGTTAGATCCCTCAAAGTCTTCCATTTACATTTTCATAAATCTACTTCCTAAATGAACCTTAAACTAGGCATATTAATTAATTCATTCTGAGATCTTGGAAATTTTGAGTTACTATACTATCATTTTAATCTAAAACTTATTAGGAGCCAAATACAGCCTTCGGTCTGAAAGATTGTCATGGCTTATAAAAATGCTTGCATTCCAAGAAACAGAGGTAATGAGACAATTAAGACTAGAAAAGGGTAAGTGAAGCTAGCTCCTACTTACCAGAAGTTTTATCACATTTGCTCCTCAATATCTTAACAAGATCGTAAAACCCAAGAGTGGCTTGGGGCTTGAGCTCAGAGCTGTGAGGATTTGCTGTCATTCCAAGTGAGAAACTCCAAAAGTTAAGAATGTAGAAACAATGGTGGACTGAAAACAGTGTAATTTAATAACAAGGGCTATAGGAATCACCGACTTTGCTGGGCCTTGGATTTTTCATAAAGTAAAGAAAGCAACAGACTGACACTCCTATTTTCTGTCTCTCTCCTTCACATTACAGTGGGCTGCTATGATCTCAGCTCAGTACTTCCTCACTCAGATCAAAAGCCTTCACCCCTACAGAGGACAGAAAAGGGCAAGAGAACCTGGAGACCGAGAAAAAGCATCTCGCTCCTATGAAAACCAAGAGCGTCTTGTTTTTACCACTAAGTATCTCATACTGTCTTGTATATGTTATATTTATGTAACACTGCTCAAGTTATTTGTAAAATCAATTTATTATTACAGATATATATATATATATACACACACACATATACACACACACACATATATATACACACACACATATATACACACACATATATATACACACACACACATATACACACACACGCATATATACACACACATATATATATACACACACACATATATATATACACACACATATATATACACACACACATATATACACACACACATATATACACACACACATATATACACACACACATATATACACACACACACACGCACACACACATATATATACACACATACACACACACACACAAAATATCAAGAACTGACCAAGGGGCAGCTAGGTGGAGCAGTGGATAGAGCTCCAGCCTTGGAGTCAGGAGGACCTGAGTTCAAATCCAGCCTCAGACACTTGACACTTACTAGCTGTGTTACCCTGGGCAAGTCACTTAACCCTGACTGCCTTACCAAAAAAATAAAAAAGAATTGACCAGAAACATCACATTAAGCATGAAAAGCAATTACTGGAATTAAAGAAAAAAGTACTTCTCTAGAAATAACTTAAATGTGCAACACTTTATTTTACATTGAAATTAATCTCTCCTCAAATATGTTTACTTTACTTTCACTAGAAAATGATCTTGTGCTAAGAAATCACAGTAAATGTCTTTTTTCCTGGAACAAGTTAGGTTTTCTGAAATACAGGTCAAGAACTGTTCTGGCTGGGATCAGGGCTTCCGTTCACCATCTGGGTACTCTCCCCTTCTGTGGTGCACATCTCCAGCTCCTCTTTGCAGGTTTTACGAGTTGCCTGGGACTCGGAGAGGTGTACCAACCAGCCCAGGTCACGCAGGTGGTACGTGACTGAAGCAAGACTTAAACCTAGGTCTCTCCCAGAGTCTCCAACTAGCCCTCTATTCACTTGGTCACGCTGCCTGTCAAGGTTGGGTGACAAGAAGGAAGCTGAGAGCATTCAGGCTAAGGGACCTGACAATTAAGAGAGGGACAAGATGAAACAGGAAAGGAGAGCGAGGGCCATACACACAACGGAGCTAATAGAGGGAAAAACCTGGATGGCAAGGGCATCGGAGCCACATTCTCTCCAGTATTTCATCCATTAAATGGTACTGCCCCTGGCTGAGCACGGGCCAATTTTTAGATTACCATGAGCCAAATTAAAATCTTTCCTAGTCATATTTGCTTTAAAACAAAGCAAAACAAAAAACGTCTTTGCCTAGACTCACAAAATAAAGTCACATTTATGTGTTGGCAATTCTTATAAAAAATAGAATCCATACAATTATGTTAATGAATCAAATTAACAGTCTGTAGCATATTCATTAAATAATTTTTACATATTGTAGGCACATTAACATTTTCCTCTACTATCTCTTACGTTAGCAAAGAATTTAAATTACTATTTATTATAATATCGATTAGCTTTCTTCACTTCTCTCCAGTTGTGCAAATCTACTTCAAATATCAAACAAGGCTGTTGCAAAAATTAAAAAGAAAAACTGATGATATCATGTGCCAGGTTTCCAAAAAGCTAAAATTTTCATAAGTATGCTGCTAAAATCCAAAAATATGCTTGTCTCACTTAAATAACATTTTTTAAAAACATGCTTATCCTTTTGTTACAATGATATATAAATATTATTCAATTTCGAATTATGATTTTATTTGCACACATATTAAATTTAATTTTAACTTTTGAAATTAAACACAATGATTTATTTTAAAATATATAATTGGTTGAGATCCCAAAGTCTGCAAAGTAGTTACCACATAACCACAGCAATTACTTCCTCAGGGATACTAACCAAACTTTAGTGCTGAATGATGACATATTTAGAATGACATTCATAGGATCTGTAAACCTGTTCCCAAACATTTTACAATACTTGTTATATGATCTAAAGAAAACTTTTCACTGTTTCAAAACAGATATTTAAACTTAATTTCAATATTAAGCAGTGAATCAAGTGCTTTGTGACTGGGAAAAGAATAAAGCCTCTTCAAAAAGAAAGAAAAATAGGGCCTCTTCTCTCTCTCCTGGCTTCCCCGGCTTCCTTGGGGTCCCAGCTAACATCCTCCCTTCTATAGGAAGCCTAGCTCAATCCCTCTTAATTCGAGTGTTTCGCCTCCATGAATCATTTCCTTTTCTGCATATGGCTCATTTGTACATAGGTGTTTGTTTGCATATCACCTGCCCTATCAGACTGTGGGCTCCGGAGGAGTCTTTTTTGTATGTTCAGCACTTACCTCAGTGTCTGTCACATCATTGTTCGGCCATGTCTGACCATAGCACACCAATAGTGTCCAGGGGGTTTTCTTGGCAAAGACACTAGAGTAATTTGCCATTTCTCTGGCAAATTTCTTTGGTCCAGTGGATTAAGGCAAGCCGGGGTTACACAGCTAATAAGGGTCTGAGACCAAATCTGAACTCAAGTCTTCTAGACTCTAGGGCCCAGCGTTCTACCCACTAAGCTACCTAGCTGTCTCATGTACCTGACACATAGTAGGTGCTTAATAAATGCTTATTGTCTAACAGACTGACCAAGAGAACCAATTCAGAGAAAAAAGAGAAATTCCTTTAGCAGTCTCTCTCTCAATTATTACTGTCTAGGTTGAATAAGAATAACCATTGTCCATTAGAAGAGTCTTGCCTACTGTATCTCCTTAATTCAAAAAAATCTGTTAAGCACCTATTATGAGCAAGGCATCATACAAAGGACTAAAGAGAAAGACAATAATGCCGCTGAAGAAGCTTACATTTTACTGGGGTGATATACTAGAATATTATAATTTCTTTATGAAAACTGATTTTTTGGGGGGTACTGAACTGTAATTTCATTGCTGAAGTTCCTAGTAAAGAAACTTCCCTTGACCAACAAAAATTTAAAACTGTTCAGCAATTTACAGACCTGGACAGTTGCCTAGAACACTAAGAAGTTAAGTGAATGGACCGGGGTCACACAGTCATAGGATGAATTTAATGCTGAATTTAATTAAGAAAATCCTATTTTCCCAGTGATTTCCATTTTAAAATTGCATCTCTCCTAACAGACTGAAGTGAAGTTTTCTAGTAAGGAATAGAGAAACAAAAACCAAACAATGGACCATTAATAGAGCATTCTTCCTTTGCTAAGTAAGCTTCCTTGTTTCTAGGGTCTCGTTTTCTGCAACTGCAGTCCCAGAAGTGAAGAAAGGAATGCATGCCATGAGATCACAGTACTATACTCAAGCCTGCCAAAATTCTGCCCCCTCCTTCTTTGGTATAGGGAAGGCAGCACACAAGTGAGAGTGGTACAAGTCACATAAAACTAAAAACTTCAATACCAGATAAATTACAATGCATATTGATTTTCCATCAGGTAATCTGTAAATTTAATAATGTCCTAATGAACTCATGGGTACCTGTAATCTCATAGTTAATTTACTGTGGAAGTCATATTCTTAACATTTTCCATTATTATTAACATTAAATCAACTTAATCTTGAATAATTTTTTTTAAACCACAATGAAAAATAAATATGATTTCTAGTTAAGATAAAAACGAACTGAAAAGGTGATATTCCTTGTCACAATTTACCTTTTCAATGAGATTTTCATGTTTGTCTTTAAAATCTTCATTAACGTCCAGCGTTAAGATGGGTATCTCTTGTAGATAATCAAAGTTGGTTCTGTTTTTAAAAAATGTATTTTTAAAAAGGAATTAGAAAAGCAAAAACTATTCAATATGGGAAGAATATTAGGAGCAAAGTGAGGAGTGTGAAAGATGTAGGGGTGTGTGCTCCGGGAGCATCAAATCGTTTGATTTGGCTGGGGTCCAGGGTCCATGAGAAGGATGCTGAAGCCAAATTGTATATGATGTGGCACTGAATTCCAAGCAAAGGAGTCTGGACTTGGTTTGGCAGATACAACTGAGCCAGTAAAGACTTTGGATCAGTGGGAGTGGAGATGGCAAGACCAGAACTATGCTTTAGGCAGATTAATCAGGCAGCAGCATGCGGGACAAATTGAGTGGGGGATACTGAAGGCAGAAAGTCTACCGAAAAGAGTTCAGGCAAGAGACAAGTTGGGCCTGGAAAAGGAGGTGGTAATAGATCTAGCAAAGGAGACAATACACATGATAATTTGAAATTATTGGACTTAGTTGATTAAATAGGGGGAAGTTTGAGAGATGGGAGAATTGAAAAAGTCTAAGATTTTTATTTGGAGTTCTGTAAGAATGCATCATAGATAATAGATTTTAGGTCTAGAAGTGACCTTAGAACTCTCTAGCTCATTTTTTTTATGGTAACAAATTGGAAATTGAGGGGATGCCCATCAACTGGGGGACGGCTGAATAAGTTGGGGCACATAATTGTGATGGGGTACTACTGTGCTATTAAGAAATGACTAGGGGGATGGTTTTAGAAAACCATGGGAAAATCTATATGAACTGATGCAAAGTGAAGTAAGCAGAACCAGGAGATCATTGTGCACAGTAACAGCAACATTATAGTGATGCTCCACTGTGAAAGACTTAGCTATTCTAATCAATACAATGATCCAAACAATTCCAAAGAATTCATGATAAAAAATGCTATCTGCCTCCAAAGAGAGAACTGAAGAACTCTGAGGACAAAATGAAGTGTAATTTTCTCACTTTCATTTTTTGGGGGGTGAGACAGCCAATAAGGAAATATGTTTTGCATGATTTTACATGAATAATTGATATGATATTGTTTGCCTTCTCAATGGGTGGGGGAGGAGCAAGGAGAAAGGGAACTTTGAACTCAATATTTTTTTTTAAAGAAAGCCACAAATAAATACTCTTGGAGGGGAAAAAAAACATTATAAAGGAAAGCCTCTTCTCACTCCACCAGAAAGAACACTGGGCTGGGAGTCATGAGTCTTCAATTCTAGTCACAGCTCTATAACTAACTACAGAAAAGTCACTGAAATCAGTTATTCACTTCCTTTGTGAAAAGGAGCTAACCATATCCCCACTACCCTATGTTGCAAAGATAGGATGGGATACATTGAGAAAGACTTCAGAAAAGGTAAACAAAACCATTCTTTTTAGCATAAAATACTATCTCTATTTTAGTTCTCTTAAATAATTTCTGTGATTCCACAATTTACACACTTTGCTTCATAGGTCTGCCAATCTACAGGATACATGGGTGTTGGAGAAGTGTGAAAAAGAAATATACCTAGACATACAAAACATCCCAGAAAGACATCCATATGGGAAAATTCCTTATCTTGATTCAATTAACCTTACATAATAAACCTTTTTTTCTTATGAAATAAGGTAGACCCCAAGGCATCCTTGTTATTTCACAAATGAAACTAGTTAGGATCATGCCCTACTCTGAATCACTGTATTCATAACTTCAGAAGCTACCACAGCTTCTAAACAGCTTCTACCACAGCCTTGCATATGAGGCAGTGTGGTGTACTGGAAAGCAGACTGGATTTGGAGTCAAGGGACCTGCTTTTAAATCCCAGCTCTACATATAATAATCTCCATAGTGTTGGCCAGGTTATTGAATTTCTTTGGATGTTAGTGTTCTCCTTTGTAAAATTAGGGCATTGAACTCTGAGCACATACTGCAAAAGCAGAAAGACTTATACATACCAAATTACTCATAGTGACACTTTTTATAGTAGCAAAAAATTGGAGATAAAATGAGTACCCACTGAACAAACTGTGTTATGTAAATATAATGGCATATCACTGTGGTGGAAGCAATGAATATATGAGGAATTCATAGAAGTATGGGAAGACCTATAGGAACTATCACAGAAGGAAAATAAGGAAAATAAGTTATTGATGACTACAATATTGCAAATAAAAAGAACATCAAAATGAAACCAAATACTCTGTAATTAGAGTCTTGGCACTAGAAGAGTGATAAGGAGATGCACTTTCTTCCTTTCATTGGAGAGTTTGAATGCAGAATGGTGCATGGTTATCAGACATAGTTACTTGGGTTTGCTTAACTGTTTTCTGTTGGTTAAGAGAGAGGGTTCACTGTGTGTTTTGGGCTGGCATGGAAGGAAGAAGTAGTAAATGACTACGATTTAAGAACAAAAGGTATCAGTAAGACTTTTTTAGGCACCATCTTGTGATTTTATCAGTGATGGAAACTCCCAATGAAGAAACCTCACTAGGAAAGATGATGGACAGCTATCCTAAAACTGATGGGCTTCCACTGCCTCATCCGTAAAACGAGGGGGTTGGACTTGATGGTGCAAGCCTAAGGAATCTTTTGGCTCTAAATCTATTATCCTGACAATTGCTTGGAGCCCTGAGAAGTTAAGTGACTTGGCCAGGGTCACCCAACCCAGTAGGAGATTTGCAAACAGTTCTTTCTGACTCTGAGCCCAGCTCTTTATCCACTATTTAACAATGACTCATTATTTAAGACATTTTTAAAATGAAAATAAATAAAACTGGGGGTTGGGGGGTGTGGTTCAATTAATATCCTTTTTAGCCCTAAATCCAGGATTCTCCAGTCCAAATTGGTAAGGTTGGGCAGCTGGGTGCTTAGGAACTTCGTCCAGAAGTTAAAAGTTGGTAGTAGTCTGTTGTCCACAGACTTATAATATGCATAATAAAAATGGCAAGTAGATTTTCATTCATCTTCCTGTCACTAATGAGACTCTGTAATCCCCCATTCCTGCGTCAATACTCTCTTCAAACAATGTGCCGTTCTTCCGTTCCCTCAGGACATCAACCTCTTTTCACACCTCTCTACACTTTATGAACAGAAAGTTTGGAGTCGGAATCCTGCTATATCACTTTTGAAAGCCTGCCAACTTCTGGTATGATACAGTGCCTGAAATCTTGTTGCTATAATAGAATAAATCTGTTATTTGTTACCCTAAGATTCTCCTAAAAAGGAGGTACCTTGGATAATTCACACCAATGCCATTCCCTTATTTGTTCATGGAGATATCTGTATTTGTTTGTTCTTGTGAATGGGAATGACAAGGAAATAGCTATCTGTTAAAACATCCTGCTGTCGTCCCAGGTACTGTCTCAATCACCCACAAGTGCCAAAGAGAAAAAAAAAAGTCCTGATTCTACATACTGCCACTATCACCTGCCAGGCTTCAGATTAAAATCTAGAAAACAAACCATTTGAAGATATAATAATTTTTCAAAGTCTTACTTCAGTGTTCTATTCTGGAGCCAGCTTTCGTGTTTATAGTGGAGCTTTTCTAAGTATTCAAGAGGAATTTCTTGTTCTTCTTCTCTTCCCCTCAAGTATATTCTACTCAAACATTTCTACAGGAACAAAAAAATAAGGAAAAAATGTATTACTTTTCACTACCTGCTAATTTTAAAACATAAAGATCAAGCAAACATCTTTCTGGTGTTTTTAGGTTCCATCTTAAGCAAAATTACTATATATTTACTTTTGGAAAGCTTATTAATTAGCCAAAAGGAATTATTTTTATCATTTACAGCTTTTAATTTTTTGGTTTTTTGGGGGGGCTGTTTTTTGCAATCTGGTGAACGCCAAAGTTTGGCTTTCCCATTGAATTTCATAAAAGAAAAAATTAATGACGTAATTGCAACTCTGCCATTTATCATAGAGTTTGGATAATACACTCTCAAATCATTTGTGGTTTTTAAATAAAGTCTTTTGAATATACTACATTAAAAATACTGCAAGACCTAAAAGTTCACAGCCAAATAAATGAATTATGGCATAACCTGGTTTTTTCCTTTATTCATAACAATAAAGTGACTATTAAAGAACAGATTCAGTTTGTAGTATATTACCCTATTTTTCTTATAATTTTCCTTGGACATATAATGGCTCAAAATCAAGCATGGGTTTCATGGGTCAAAACCTGAGGTAAATCTATAACTGTTTGGGACCCAGAACACGTTATATCAAGTTACTGCCAAAATAACCCTCCAAAATTGTATCAAATTTAAATTTGTTTAACGCTAAATGGTATACTTCTATGTCCATGCAAAGCCCACTTCTATGTTATCCAAATCTAATAGAGTGAAGACTAAATGGAAGACTAAATAATTGAAAAACCAATAAAGGTCCCAGTGAAGAGATGAGAAACATACCTCCTCCCTCATGGCAGAGAGGAAAAGGATTCATGGGACAGAATATCGTATATTGTTAGATATAGTGCACTAAAAGTTTTTTGCTTAATTGTTTTCATTTTCACAAGGCTAGGAAAAGGGGAAAGAGGAGAAATGCTGTCCTATAAAGATAAAAGGCATCAATAATGCATATTTTTCAAAAGAAAAATTCACAGGTGAAGACAGTTTTGGAGCCAGAGCTCAAGAACTTCAATATCACATACACAAGTGACATTACCCCTCTTGTCCTCAGTTTCTTCATCTGTAAAATTAGAGAGTTGGATTACATGGTCTGTAAGGTCTCTTTAGGTCTAAATCTACTAGAAATGGAGCCTCCGTTTTCTTTAACAAAATTACTATATTGATACAGTACCGAAAGAGCCAGTGAGCTCCCTTTATGGCCAGGATGCATAATACTTCTGCTTGTCAAAAACCTTATTTTGGGGACAGGGAATAGATGGGGGTAGGAAGAGAAACAACAAAGCCATAATCCTTTTCCTTAAATAGGAAGCAGCAAACTACAGAGGTTAGAGCCCTTCCAGTGTCCTATTTATAGTTACACATATAACAAGAATGGGGGGAAGAGGGGGAAGGGGAACAGCTATGATACCAAAGTCACGTTTTAAAAGTGGCTCCTCCCATGATTAGGAAGTCATTTCCTGGCTTCCCTCCTTTCTTCAGCAGCCACTTTATATGCTCTCCCATAGCCCAGACAAGCCCACTTACTAGAAGCCCATGCTCCCCACCCAAGCTTTTCTGGATAGGTCCCTCTCTCTCGGTCATTTCTGAGGACGAGGAGCGATGCAGGAGCTCCAGGGCTGATGAGCTGGACATGGGATTTCCCTAAGACAAACTCCTGAGCATCAGCACCGATGGGCCTGGAAACCTGAAAAGGTCAGGCAAAGTTGGGAGACGGGGATGGAATGAGGGAAAAGGAGAGAGACAAAAGTCTGCGAGGAAGAAAGAGCTGGCAGTGTGTAAAAACAAAAGGGAAGGTTCAACACCCTGGTCAGAAGACATGCCAAACCTGGGATTTTAGTTTTATCAAAGAAAGTGACACTATCCCTCAAAGAATTTCACCTGTTTTCTGAAAAGAATGGAAAATTAGGAAACATAATCCTCACTGTATGCCACTAAATGCAATAACAAACGATAAAACACTGCTGCTGTTCAGTCATGTCTGACTCTTCTTGCCCCATTTGGGGTTTTCTTGGCAAAGATACTGGACTGCTTTGTCATTTCCTTTTCCAGCTTCTTTTACAGGTGAGGAAACTGAGGCAAACAGGGTGAAGTGACTTGTCCAGGGTCATACAGCTAGTCACTGTCTGAGGCCACATTTGAACTCAGAAAGATGAGTCCTCTTGAGTCCAGGCCTGGCGCTTTATGTAACTGTCCCGATAATACACACTGGAATGCAAAAGATTTATAACACATAGAAAAGCTCTTCTATATCTCACCTCTGGAATGGCTTGAAGATAAATTATTCCATCCAGTTCAAGGCTCTGGCCAAATTGGTTATTCATCCAGTCATGCCAGTCTTGATAAATTGTCCACTCTGTTTCATTCATGCAATCAGACTCATATAAATTAGATGCAAAAATATACCTGAAAGACAACATGGCTACATATCAACATATTTCTCTGTGATGAAAGTCAGCTGCCAATCGCTTTCTAAGCTATGAACAAAAAGGGTAAGAAGGAATGGCCAGCCAGGCAATCCAGGCATGCTCCAATATGTCTGGTTCAAACCTCAAATTCAGGGAGAACTTGGTACTACTCAAATAATCAAGAACAGGAAAGGCAGACTTACTACAACCCTAGGAAATCTGCTTAGGAAAGATTTGGAGAGCCAGAGAACCTGTGAGTTCTTTGATGAGGGGAGGGTTCTGATTTGCACAAAGGACATCATAAGATAATCTCCATTCAAAATAAACAAAAGCAGATGAGAATTCTGAGATGGGGGGAGGGTGTGCAGAACTCTCTCCAAAAAAAAACAGCCTACACCAAGGCAGGGGTCCTGCCCTAAGTTATCCCGTGAGGGGGGGGGAGATGAGAAGGAGTGCTATCCATCATGGATCCTTATTAGCACTAAGTGCTCTCATCATTCATTACCTCCGCATGCCCAATTTACCCCAAGTGCTTATATGGCTTGTGTCTCAAAGAAGCTGCACAAACTGGTTTCGATCCAAGGCTCATGAAGCAAGCAGCATACCTGTCACTGTACACCGAGCGCTCAAAGAACACCACGGGCCTCTCTGCCTCTTTGAGCTTCCCACTGAGAGCCGAGAGCTGAGCTCGGATTCTGCTCAGGCAGGCATAGGTCTGGAAGGTGAATGACCATCGTTCTGGTTTTTCATACATCATCTGAAGCACATTGCCACCACTTTTCTGAGAAGTGGTCAGCTCCTATTTCAAAACAAGAAACTAAATTGAGCAGGCTTTGAAAATTAAAATTTTCTCAAAAAACAAACGAACAAAATTGTTTTTTGTTATCAACAGTGAAGTAGTTAAATTCTCACTACAGTTCCCTAAGCTAATGCTACCAATTGCTGAGACTAGAGCACGCAAGGTAAATAAAAATCCATTTCCCCCATCAACAAACATGTTTAGTCATTCATTCTTTCAGTAAAAACTGAATAAGCATCTGTTCTGTAAAAGACACTCAGTTAAGCACCAGAGATACAAAGACAACAGGTCCCCACTCTCTGGGGGAAAATTACAAGTATACTGCCCAGTAAATACAAAATACATAAAGTATACACAAAGTAATGTTGGGGGCAGGAGGCCACAGTAAGCCTTGAAGGAAACGTTATTCTAAAAGGTAAAAGGGAATTAAACATGCAGGCACAAATGAACTGCAGATCCCACCCAAGTGGTTGGGCCCACAATGTCTGACAGGGACCAAAGACCACCTCTTGCCCATCCCCCATGAAGGGGACTTTTGGTAAACCTACAGATCAATGCCAGTTGCCTACTTGATGCTCCTATGAATATTCTTTTTATTGGCATTTATTCTAGGGAAGTGGAAACCTACCCATACATACTTTATCACTGTCACTCAGAAATTACTTAAGGAATTCATTCCCAGCTTTGCACTACCACTGAATTTTGACAGTGATGAAGGCACACATTTCACAGGTCAGATATTTAGGGACATCATATAAGGCACTGAACACAGAAACAACTACATTACAACTACCACCCATAATCCCTGTAATCTGTCTAGGGAAGCTTAACGTAGGTGTCCTGGATTTCCGGAGGAAGAAAGCAGCATTTCACTCACTCAGGCCACCTGGCACTTCGTGTTAACACAACAGCTGTACAATATTACTGCACCTTTTGTAGTCCTTTAGACTTTATCCAGCATTTATGCTGAAACCTCTACCAGGTGTCCAAGGAAGAAAGGAAAGAAAAAAGGAAGGGAAGGAGCGAGGAAGGGATAGAAGGAAGGAAATAAGGATTTATTAAGCACCTACTATGTGCCAGGTACTATGCTAAGCGCTTTACAGATTCAATCTCATTTGATCCTCACAACACCCCTGGAAGGTAGGTGCTATTATTACCCCCATTTTACAGATGAGGAAACTAAGGCAGAGACAGGTTAAATGACTTGTCCAAGGTCACATAGCTAGTAAGTATCTGAAGCCATATTTGAACTCGGGTCTTTCTGACTCCAGGCCCAGCATCGCACAGGAAAAAAATACAGCAACTTCACTAGATTTAAAAATGGAATTACTGTGGACCAAAATAAAAAGATCTGTATTGTCAAGTTGCCCCTCACTAAAAGTAATACACAGTACTGACAAAAATTACACAAACATACCCTGACAGCATGTAACACTGAAGATATAACTACAAAAGGTCAGGAGAAGGAAAACGAAAATGGTCAGGAAGTTGGAGAAGTTGGCATATGAGTATGGGCCAAAAAGAGTAAAGTCCTTCAATCTGGAAAGAGGGAGATTGAGAAGGAATAGAATTGAAATCCATAAGATCCTAAAGGAATATAACAAAGAACTAGTAGTAGAGCACTCAACTTCAAGCTCACTGATCTTAATCAAAACTTTCTCAGAGCCAAAAGAGACTGAGCAGTTCAGCTCTTTCTCTGTTATCTGTCAACATTACTCAAACCAAAATGACTTTTATTGTCAAGCACTTTCTCCAAAGTTCTTCTCACTCTGGGTCTGCCGATGCTGGATTTGGAATCAAAGGCCCTGGCTCTGAGCCCTGTGTGACCTGGGGCTAGTTATTTTCCCCTTGCTGGACCTCCGCTTTCTTGGGGATAAAATGAGCGAGTTGAACTAACCCAGAAATCCAGCTTTGAAAGGCACGCTCTGAATTTATTAAATACCATAAGCTAAAAACAAGTTGCACATAAAAGATTTGCAGTTTCATCACAATCTCCTTTTTCTGTTGTTTCTGTATAAGGAATTTTTTAAATGCTCATTAAATTCAATTTTCTATAAGAGGTTTAATATCATAAATATGGATACTGTTCTTATCCTCTCTCTGGTCCACGTCCTCTTAGAAATCCTCCCTTGGGGGCCTTCCTAGGTCTTTCACCTTAAGGAGGTACCAATGCAGTATGTGCCTTTTCTTGTTATGATTGTCCCCTCTCTTTGTGAGCTCACAGGCCTCTTATTTCTTTCATGATACTTTTTGCCCAGTTGCTGGTACAGAGGCTCTACACCCACCATGTAGGTGATGACATGTGGGTTTCCATTGCCCTTCGGATAACTCACACTTCTGGGTTTTTCAGAGATTGTGGCAATCCATCAAATAAAGATGTGTGTGTGTCAATCTTCAAACATAAAAGTATGACTTTCTTCAAAAACTTCAATATGAGAAAATCTACTTTTGAAAAACAGAAAACTGACATGTGAAAAAAGTCTATAACCTTTTATAAAACTGGCTTAGGATTGTTTAAATAAAAATTTAAAGGTATTCATAAGGAAAAGGGTAAGATAACTTTAAGTTTCCAGGTTATAAAATAGAGGACTCCACAAGGCAAAAGAAGTTCTGAGTCAGGTGGAAAGAAGATCCATGAAACCTTACATGGCTCCATTTTTACAAAGCGATTTGTGAGACCACAGCAGAGATAATACAGAAGGGCTTGGTGCTCCAGATGAAGACTAAGAATAGTCTGGGAGGGAAAGAAAAGTGCCAAGTGATAGAGGGGAGAAAAGTAACACCTTTATTTTGAAGAGCAGCCTAGAATAGTCAGAACTAGAAATCCTGACAAGATCCTAAGGCACAACTTCAGAGGTGGAAGGACGTGTGTGTGTGTGTGTGTGTGTGTGTGTGTGTGTGTGTGTGTGTGTGTGTGTGTGTGTGTGTGTGTGTGTAAGAGAAAGCAAAAGTTTAGTCAAACAGAGCTCCTAAGAAGAAAGTTAGTAACAAAAGTATCCAATTTGAACTCAGAGTTTCGAATTTATTTCAGTCCTGGCTCTGTTAGTAACACTGCATAAATGGAAATCAGAATTAAATCAATAAATGGACTGTTTTCTTTATAAAGAATTCTATTTTTGGAAGTCAATCCATAAGCATAACCGGCCTACTTCAACCAAGCACAGTGCTAGGCATTAGCATACAATGACAAAAATGTACCAGTACTTGCTGTCAAGGAGCCTATATTCTAATAGATCAGTGGTTCCCGGGATATGCCTGCTTCTATTATTGAAGTCTAAAAAGAACCTATTTGACACAAACTACTGTCTAGAGTCCTCACTATTCATTCACTACCAGAGGTACAGGAAGAGTACTTAGTGGAATTCATTCACTTCCACATGGATAGCTTCATATCCTGCAACCCTCAATCTGTGTATTACAAAATCATCAAATATACAGCTGTTTAGGCTATCTATATGCTACTTCCCTCTGAAAATAACTGAGAGCTAATTGATACCACAGAAATTTTATCATACTGATTTTTAAAAATGTGGACAATACATGATCTTCAGGAATTTCCCCCTTTGCTATAGACTCTTGGAGTTCCAGATGAACCTTGTAAAGAGAACACATATCTACCTGTCAGTCAGTAAGAAAAATATGTGCCTTCAAAAGTCACTTGAAGAGGAGGTGCTCTGTGAACCAGTACTTAGATAAGCTCCCAGAGCTCATTTTCATAGCACAGTGGGCTTCTTAGCAGCGCAGAAAGAGCTCAGCCTCCCTCTTTATACTGCTGCAGCTTCAGGAGCTATGTAGGTGTCCAAAGGAGTTGCAAAGAGAAACTCAAGATCAGCTTTCTTCCAACCAAGACATTCAGGGCAGTAGAAACAAACAAAGGCAAGACATTCAACAATCTGTATACCAAGAACAGGATACACAATAAAGGTCCTCACTGATTTGTGCTCTGGTCCTGAACAGCAACATAAATCATAAGTATGAGAGGAAAATAAACTTTTCACATAAACTTGGACAATGCGGTAAGGTTTGGCTACTGGTCCTGCCCAGAGCCAGGACAGACGGTGCAAACAGAGTGTCTGACCTTCCATTCCGTATCAAAATTAGTGGGAGCTACACCGAGAACCTCACATTATTCCTGCCACCAGGGGGCAGGCAAAAGAACAACGAAAATTAAGATACCCCTAAAAAGGAAGGGAAAAGCTTCTAGTCAGCTGCTATAAACGAAGGCCCGCTTAATAAAAAGCAACGGTAGCTCTGTTTCCAGTCATTAAGCAGGGCATTATGCTAAATGCCAATGACACAAGAATGAAAAAAAAAATCCCTGTTCTCAAGGAGCTTCCATTCTGCTAGAAATACAATGCACCCAGATAACCGAAGAGTAGCACATGACTCCCAAATCTCTATGCACACATACCACATACGTCACATTACCATGTTCACAATCTCTATGTCCTCTCTCCCACGTCACCAACTGCTATTGATGGCTCCAGATGAGAGTGAGGCTGGTGACTCTAAGCAGACCTCCCTCCCCCAATTCACTTGCATGTCCCAGCATCTCGTCCCTGATGTCATGGCGCTCTTCCAGAAGGAAGGACAAACAGCAAGTACCAACTGCTCTGGGAGTCACCTTTAACAGAATTGTCTTTCCTTCTAAACCCAGCTCTCTTCCACTTCATTTTGTTAGTTCTCACTGACAGGAACTTTTTCCTGACTACAAGCCTAAATCTGCCTCCACTTTACTCCTGGTTTTGCCATTGGGAGTCAAACAGAACAGGTGTAATCCCTCTTCCACGTGCCAGCCCTTCGAAAACTTGGAAGATAGCTATCATTCCCCCTCCACTCCACCTTCTCTTCTCCAGGATAAAGATCTCTACTCCCTCCGTTCCCATCTTCACATGACATCACAATCCTTCCCCATCTTCACTACTCTCCTTTGGATGCCCAAAGTTTAGGGCGTAGTCATTTAATTTTCTGTCTACATTTTAAATACATAATTACTCCTGCCTTTCCCTCATACCAGAAGCTAAGATTTAAAAATAACTGTCTTTCAATGCGTTATCATATTAAGACTTGAACAATAAGTTTCTGCCATACATTTCTATTTTTAACTGTGGCATGCCTTGCTTACTTTTAATTACATAAAAATTATTACCTAACAAAGTTCCTGCATCTTCCAGGAAATCAGTATTTATGACAAAACAGAAATTCATAATGAAGAAATCATCAAAAGATTTGATTTTACTATTTTGGAAGAAATAAAATTTCATGGTTTCCCCCTCACTTTCCCCTCGGTAACATCATATGGGAAAAATGACTCACATGGAAAGATGGAATTTCAACTTGAGTTCAGAAGGAAAGACCTTCTGACAATGATGAAAAACAGCATCTTAGTTATTAAAACAGGGTTGAAAAATTAGGTTTGACTGTTGTTTGAAAACAAAACCCAACAAATATGAAAAGTCTCTCAGAACACTCAGCACTTAGCACGGTGGCTAGTATGCAGAAGCTTGATAAATGCTAGTTGACTGATTTTATTTGAGTTCGATTCTATTTCAGTGCCGAAAAATATCAGAAACAAGGAATAACAAAACACTGCTGTAGCTTTGAACTATAAGGTTATAGTTTCATTTGAATGCAAACCAAAGAAACAATGAATCACCATATTCACCACTGAATAAGCAATGTATCATTTTCATACCTCAAATTCATCTTGAGTGCTCTGAACATGGCACCACCTGGCAACCGGTTCAGGAACCACTTCCCAATCATCAGAGACTTGCTTAAGGATATTTACAAATGTTGACTTCCCCGCAGCTGTCAAAATCAGAAAGAAGTGCTAAGAGCATTTATTAACCTTTATAAACTTGTTCTTAAAATAAGGTATATTATAGCACACATTTTAAAAAAACAATTCCCAGAATTTTCTTCGAAGTTTTCAGTTTTTAAAAATGTAAGATAAATCTGTAATAAGATGATGCAGTTTTTTGTGGATTTCTAGTTTTTGATTTTAAATGTAAAAGAACAAAAGAATGGGAAAAAAAGATCTAGGTATTTCTTGCAGAAAGGGGGTGCTAGTCAGTCACAAATTTACCTTCTAAGTCTTAACAATTTAAGTTTGTGCCATTTATTTATATTTTTAACTGTGATTCATACACAGCTATTTGGCCAAGTGGCCAAATTCACTCCTCTGAACAAATACTAAAGTGATTTCTAAAAAGGAAGATTTTGTTAACTCCAAAACCATTTACATATTTTTAATATTTTTACTGATGCCTTTTTATATCACAGATTTGCAAATATATATTTTCCCTCTCCCCCAGGGACCTCCCTTGAAGGGAAAAAAAATAAAAGGAAAACAAGCAATTTTTCCAAACCAACATACTCCTGCTAGTTCATCCAAACAATATCCTACATCCACAGTCGCCCACATCAGAAATGAAGGGAGTAGGGGGGCAGCTAGGTGGCGCAGTGGATGGAGCTCCAGCCCTGGAGTCAGGAGGACCTGAGTTCAAATCCGGCCTCAGACACATGACACTTACTAGCTGTGTGACCCTGGGCAAGTCACTTCACCCCGATTGCCTCACCAAAAAGAAAAAAAAATGAAGAAAGTGCATGCATTTTCTAAATTCTTCTCTTGAGTCAGACTTGGTCCAGGATCACCATGCTTTACGTAACTAAAAAGTCATTAAAAAGGAGAATTTCAGTAAATACTGTACTTTTCTCCACAGAGTCCTACTCCAATGACCAGGCTTCTCCAGGATGATGGCAAAGGACACACAAGCTCAGGCAGGTCCCACCATCCTATAGCAAGATTCAAAGCCTTTCTAGCCATACAGCATGTCTGATTTCCAAGGATCAACCCAGCTATCAATGTAGAGATGTTCATCAGCAGGATGTCAGCCACGTGGTAAGAATTCTGCAGCCCATGACACAAAGCAAAATATAAAATAGCCCTGAGTCATGTCTAGCCCCTCAGCTTCTCCCATAATGGGAGAACAGTGGTAGAAAAGGAAGCATTGAGAGAATTGGCAGTGTTTAGCTCTTCTCTGAACAGTGTTGAGATTCTAAATATGAAATCCATTTACAGCAACTAGTGTTACTGGATCAACTGAATTGTATCAGTCTTGACCTCAATATAAATGAAACCAGAAGACAAAAAAAATTGTAACCAAATGAAAAGGCAGCCCACTCATTTGCCATACTGAAGTAAATAAAGAAGTTGGTACGGTTGGTTCTATCATAGAATCAAAAGTAACAAAAAACATTTCATGGGACATTCAGTGATTTTTATATTGATAAGGATTTAGAAAACTACCCCTATAAAAATGACTGCAGTTTATATACTACTATTTGTTGTACAAAGAATACAGAGGTGAAGAAATTCCATGAAAATTTTAATAAGACACTCCAAATTAAATCAACATGTATTTTAATATTGGGTGACTTCCATACAAAGGTAAACATGGGGAGGTGGAGAGAACCAATGAAAAAAACATGGTAAGAAATAAGTGAGATCAAAGGATTGTAGATTATACAGAAACCTCATGCCCTATATGTATCTTAGAATCAGAGCTTTAAAGTTGGAGGAGATGGTGGGCCATCATTTTACAGATTCAGAAACTACAGTCCCAGAAGATAAGTGAAACTGTTCTCATCTAATCCATTTAAACAACTGTGTGGACTCTTAAAAAAAAAAGGAAATAGATAAAAGAAGAAACAATGTCTATTATTACTATTAGACTATTATTAGTTCCTAAGAAAATTTCTTCCATGTGGGAAAAGAAACTTCCTCTCCCAATGGAAACAAGCAGCTGTTCCTTAATGTAGGAGTTTTAAAGAGTCACCTGGGGAAACCGAACCAATGTAAAATCAGCCGCCACAATGAAGAGACCAAAGCAGCTGGAAAACGACCACTCAGAGCAGAGAGGTTCAACAGCCAAGGGCAAGCACAGTTTGGGATACGAGCTTGTTTGTCAAATCTTACAGTAGAGAAATACTGCCTAAAAAAACAGCAAGAACATTGGAGGAAATGCTGGAAGGGAAAGCTTAGTGAAATCCCCAATTAAGCAAAATCATCCCAAGAACATTTGAGGATAAAACTGGAAGAAATACAAAAATGCGGAAGATTTGTGGCATTTTCTACAACAGCCTTTCCTCCTCCTTCCAGACCTCTCCACAGCCTGCAGATCATCCTCTCCTCATGCTCCTCTCTCTTCTCTGCTTCTGTTATTCTTCTTTATCCTGGCTCTGCTCCCCCATCTCTGACTGCTCCTTCTCTGGCCACACTGAGACCACCAATGGCAGGTCTCCTTCAAGGCTCTGTCCTGGGCCCTCTTCTCCTCCCCCTCTACCCAGTTTCATGTATTGATCTCATCCCCTGCCATGGATTCAATTGTCATCCTTCTGCTGATGATTCTCAGTTCTACTTCCCCCGCCCTCACCTCTCTGCTGGCCTTCAGTCTTACATCTCCAAATGCCTACTGGACACCTCCCTACGGATGTCCTATAAGCATCTGAAACTCAACATGTCCAAAATGAACCCACTATCCTTCCCCCTCCACACGTCCTCACCATCCTCCCAGTCAGTCGCCCAGGCTCACTCCCTCGGTGTCATTGGCGTTTCCTCACTAGCTCTCTGTCACCAGTGCCCCCAGAGCCAATCTATTGCCAAGACCTTTTGGTTTTACCTTTGTGACTCCTCTTGCACTGGCACTGTCACCACCCTGCTTGAAGGCCCTCATCACCTCACACTGGACTCTGCAGTAGCCTGATGGCTTCTCTCCCTGCCTCAAGCCTCTCTCCCACTGCAGGCCATCCTCTTCTCAGCTGTTAAATTAATCTTCCCGAAGTATAGATCTGACCATGTCACATCTGTCTCCATTCAATAAACTCTAGTGGCTTGGGGAAGCTAGGTGGCGCAGTACATAGAGCACCAGCCTTGGAGTCAGGAGGACCTGAGTTCAAATTTGGCCTCAGACACATAACACTCACTAGCTGTGTGACTCTGCACAAGTCACTTAACCCCAATTGCCTCACCAAAAAAAAAAAACAACCCACAAAACAAATAAACTCCAGTGGCTCCCTAATACCTCCAGGATCAAGTGTAAAATCCTCTGTTGGGCATTCATTCAAAGGCCTTCCACAAACTGGTTCCCTCCTACCTTTCCAGTCTTCTTACCACTGGCTTATCCTCCCCACCCCCCCACCTCCACCAATGGAGGCTGCAATAGTGACACTGGCATCCTTATTATTCCTCAAACAAGAAATCCCATCCCTGGATTTGGGGCATTGAAGCCCATGCCTAGAATACTCTCCCTCCTCACCGCTGCCTCCTGGCTTCCTTTAAGTCGTAGCTAAAATCCCATCTTCCACAACAAGCCTTTCTTAAACCCCCTTAATGCTACTGCCTTCCCTCTGAGATTGTCTCAATTTATCCTGGACAAATCAAATCCCGTTTGTACACAGTGGTTTGCTTGAGGTCTTTCCCTGGAGATGTGAGCTCCTTGAGAGCTGGAACTGTCTTTTGCCTTTCTTTATATCCCCAGAGCTAAGCACAGTGTCTGCCACATGGTACGCACTTAATAAATGTTTGATGATTGATTGATAGTAAGGGCTTAATAAATGTTTATTGACTGACTGACTGACTCTGTCAACGACAGTGGTGCCACCATATTTAGACTAAATTTAAACAGTCCTTGATATGCTCTACAAGAGGAAGTAAAAATGGTATGAAAGAAAGCAAAGACAGGAATAGAAACTAGACTAGATCCATAGATACAGAGGAGTTGAATGCTAGAGACAAAACAATTCTTAAGAAAACTTATGAATTAATTCTCAAAATATCCCAGAGGGGAGGATGCTCAATGTTCGGGGGGGGGGGGGAAATCACAGACTCTATTACCAAAAAAGAAAAAAAAAAGGTAATCAAGGAAATACTGATAACTATGAGCCCAGGTATTTACTTTCCCATCTCTGAAACAAATTTTTATGTGAATAATCTACACGTTTACTTAAAACACCACAGAGTACCCATAAGGTACTCACAGGTAGCATAGAAAAGTGGGAAGAGCTCTGGTTTCAGAGTGGGAAGAAATGAGTTCTATCATGAATCTATTACTTGGTCCCTTTGTGACCCAGGTCACCAGTCAACTCACCTGCCAGGGCCCATTTCTTCATTTGTAAAAAAAAGGGGGATGGACCGGAATAGAAGTGTCAGACATGTAAAAGGGCCTGCAATGCTCCCGAGTGCCTCTTAACCAAGTTAAGATGTAATGGAGAAATAAATACTTGACAAAATAAAGCTCAGTAAAACTTGGATAATGGTAAGATGCGGTTTTCTAAGTCAACATACACCCCACAGGGATCTTTATTTATGGCTTTGCTCCCATTTCTATTTGAGTTTGACACCCCTGGACTAGATGACCTATGAGGTCCTTTCTACCTCTAGATCTCTGATTGTATGATCTTTGATGTAGGTTTGAGAAAGGAGCAGGCAGCTGTTTGCAAACGACATTAATGCTACAGCAGGCTGAAACAAGTAGACACTGAGATTCCATTGGCTTATTGGCTAATGATCGTAAAAACTAATTTGGTCTGGTTCAGCAAAAAGGTACTTTAAGACTCTCCTTCAGTGAGATGTCATGTCTTCCAAACGTATTTACTCTGCGCCTGCAGAACAAGAGTCCTTAAAAGATATATCAACATAGAAAACTGTTTGCAGATTCTGATTATTAATAGCAAGTAAGGCATAAAACAGGAAAGTGTACTTGCCAAAATGCATCTGCCATTGTCACAGACAGATGGAAAGGTCCTCT